ACTGATACTGTTGAACACTGACTGCTACTGTTGAACACTGACTGATACTGTTGAACACTGACTGATACTGCTGAACACTGACTGATACTGCTGAACACTGACTGATACTGCTGAACACTGACTGATACTGTTGAACACTGACTGATACTGCTGAACACTGACTGATACTGTTGAACACTGACTGATACTGCTGAACACTGACTGATACTGTTGAACACTGACTGATACTGTTGAACACTGACTGATACTGCTGAACACTGATTGATACTGCTGAACACTGACTGATACTGCTGAACACTGACTGATACCGCTGAACACTGACTGATACTGCTGAACACTGACTGATACTGCTAAACACTGACTGATACTGCTAAACACTGACTGATACTGTTGAACACTGACTGGTACTGTTGAACACTGACTGATACTGTTGAACACTGACTGATACTGCTGAACATTGATTGATGCTGCTGAACACTGATTGATACTGCTGAACACTGACTGATACTGCTGAACACTGACTGATACTGCTGAACACTGACTGATACTGCTGAACACTGACTGATACTGCTGAACACTGTCTGATACTGCTGAACACTGACTGATACTGTTGAACACTGACTGATACTGTTGAACACTGACTGATACTGTTGAACACTGACTGATACTGCTGAACACTGATTGATACTGCTGAACACTGACTGATACTGCTGAGCACTGACTGATACTGCTGAACACTGACTGATACTGCTGAACACTGACTGATACTGCTGAACACTGACTGATACTGCTGAACACTGACTGATACTGCTGAACACTGACTGATACTGCTGAACACTGACTGATACTGTTGAACACTGACTGATACACTGATACTGTTGAACACTGACTGATACACTGATAGTGTTGAACACTGACTGATACAATGATACTGTTGAACACTGACTGATACAATGATACTGTTGAACACTGACTGATACAATGATACTGTTGAACACTGACTGATACACTGATACTGTTGAACACTGACTGATACACTGATACTGTTGAACACTGACTGCTACTGTTGAACACTGACTGATACACTGATACTGTTGAACAAATATAAATACTACAAAAGGTTGACTTGAATTTTACATCTGTAAAAATGATTTATGATTTTTCTTAACTTATATATTTGTATTTTTATTGTCGGTGATGCGAGTGTTGTATTAAGTATGAGAGTGTTATCTGCAGCGTCTCTGTGTAAGTTTTGTTTCTTGTGTTATTTGAGGTGATTTGACCAGTTCATTAACTCTTCTATCCTCTTCTGTAATGTCTTTTACGTTCTCTCTCTTTGTTCCATCTCCTTTTGCGTCTGTATAAATTGTAACCATAGTTTTTAAAGGGGGTGGACTGGTAAGCCAGCGGAAGGCGTCCGTCAGATGACCAAAAAGCTCCAGATGCGGGTCATCGTATGACTAAGACCCTCCGCATCAAGAAACTCTTTTTCTGTTTCCTGACAAGTCTTACCCAACCTAACCTAACCTACTTCGTCCTTCTCAGCGTAATATATTATAAACAGAGCTTGTATGCTCCTGCATTCAGCTTTCCATAAATTATTTTAGGTTAAGAGTGTTCAAGGTGTTCAACCCAGGAAAGTTTATTTCTTCCCAGTCAGTTCTTAGACTGTTGAAATTAACTTCACTAAACATTCCCAATTGTTAGATATTTCTTAAGTTATAAACTGATGAACTGTTGCTCATTTAGGTTGGAGGAATCTTCTTACTTCGTTTTTTTTATCTCAAATACATAGATAACCTCACTTAATCGAAACTGAAGCTACAATTGCATTTTATGGGGAAAAATTAGCAAAATCATATTATCTGAGGTTGTGATCAGAGTTTATTTACTCGAGATTGTTGTGCCTGATTGCGATCAGATCTTGCGTATTTTAATTTTCTGTAATGTGTTAGTTCCCTGGTATGTGATTGGAGTACCGTATTTTCCGGCATATAAGGCGCGCCTTTTTTCCTCACAAGAATTTTTTGAAGATCATCCTGGGCCTTATATGATCAAGGTCAGGGTCAAGGGGAGGCTTTGTGTTACGTTGTAGCGGTTTTTTAGTAACGTTACGTTACAACTGCTTGCAAACATCATCTTATCATCTTATATGCCTGTGCGCCTTATATGCTCGTGCGCCTTATATGCCTGTGCGCCTTATATGCCGGAAAACACAGTACTTCCCTCCACTATTTCTATAATATTCATGTGCATCATCTACCATTTTGCATGCAGGGGTTTGTAATCTCCAAGGAGATTAATATTTGGTGTAGGTTTATCTGCTGAATGAGCTCATCATCCGTCACATGGATTTTTAATTTGCTGATAAACTGGACGCACGAAGAGAAGCAATCGAGAAGTATACACAAATATCCCGCACAAACCAGAAAGAAACTTTTGACGACGTTTATGTCCGACAGTATTGTGGCTTTTTATTCTTAATCATGAAGGTAGTAAGTAATAATAATAATAATGTGGTGCGAGACAGGGGTGATCACGGGTTTAAGTGCTGTGAGCATAGGTGTAAGTGCTGTGAGCACCGGTGTAAGTGCTGTGAGCACCGGTGTAAGTGCTGTGAGCACCGGTGTAAGTGCTGTGAGCACGAGTGTAAGTGCTGTGAGCACCGGTGTAAGTGCTGTGAGCACCGGTGTAAGTGCTGTGAGCACGAGTGTAAGTGCTGTGAGCACGGGTGTCAGTGCTGTGAGCTCTTGTGGCCTGGTGGTTAACGCTCTCGCTTCACACGGTGAGGGCCTGGGTTCGATTCCCAGCCAGAGTAGAAAAATTGGACGTGTTTCTTTCCACCTGTTGTCTATGTTCCCCATCAGTAAAATGGGTACCTGGGTGTTAGTCGACTGGTGTGGGTCGCATCCTGGGACACTGACCTAAGGAGGCCTGGTCACAGACCGGGCCGCGGGGGCGTTGACCCCCGGAACTCTCTCCAGATAAACTCCAGATAAACGAGTGTAGGGGGAGTACGGTCAGACTTGAGTGAAATAGGATCCCTGTGGGATCCACCGTCACAGACATCCATTTCCTGGGTGCTGGGTGCTAGGCTCGTCAGGTATCAGGTGATCACCGGACACATTGATTTCGTACATTATTTTTTTAATACTGAAAATTATCCTGCGCATCACATTGGTAGGTTCCCCCAGCACAAACTCTCACACACACGACATATTTTTTTCAGCAAGTAAGATCTGAATGTACCTTGATGAGGCTCAGAATTTAATTTGAATGTCGTATTGCCGAGTCAAACTTTCATTCCCTGTTGTAGATATGTTCGTATTTATCACTGAGGCTATTTTCTTACATGCAGTGTCATCACTGACAATGTTTACACCAGATGATAAACACATAAATGTTTTTACATAATGTAGCATTGATGAATAACATTTTGCAACTATTCAACATGTCGGAAAGCCTGTCTAGCAGGTTCTTGTTAGTCTAACTCAGAGGTCAATTTTATATTGGAAATAATGGAGATCTGAGAAGGTAATTTTTAAGGTGCTGAATACTGCCTCAGTGTTGATGTAGGTTATATTCAGCAACTGCACTTCGTCTTTTAACTCTTTATAATCTGTATCTCCCATTAGTTATCCAGTGAACTACTAAACTTGACTCTGCAATCTACTGGTGGATCAAGATGGACGTTTCTGGCGTGCCTGGTGTAGGATGTGGGGGGGGGGGCTGGGTTACCTGGAGGTTATTCCGGGGATCAACGCCCCCGCGGCCCGGTCCATGACCAGGCCTCCCGATGGATCAGGGCCTGATCAACTAGGCTGTTACTGCTGGCCGCACGCAGTCCAACGTACGAGCCACAGCCCGGCTGATCCGGCACTGACTTTAGGTATCTGTCCAGCTCTCTCTTGAAGGCAGCCAGGGGTTTATTGGTAATTCCCCTAATGCTTGATGGGAGGCTGTTGAACAGTTTTGGGCCCCCGACACTTATGGTGTTTTCTCTTAGTGTACCAATGGCGCCCCTACTTTTTATTGGGGGCATTTTGCATCGCCTGCCCAGTCTTTTACTTTCGTAGGGAGTGATTTCTGTGTGCAGATTTGGGACCATTCCTTCCAAGATTTTCCAAGTGTAGATTATGATATATCTCTCCCTCCTGCGTTCCAACGAGTACAAGTCAAGTGCTTCCAAGCGTTCCCAGTAGTTAAGGTGCTTGACAGAACTTATACGTGCAGTAAAGGATCTCTGTACACTCTCTAGATCTGCGATTTCACCTGCTTTGAATGGAGATGTTAATGTACAGCAGTATTCCAGCCTAGAGAGAACAAGTGATTTGAAAAGGATCATCATGGCTTGGCATCTCTCGTTTTGAAAGTTCTCATTATCCATCCTATCATTTTCTTTGCAAGTGCGATCGTGGCACTGTTGTGATCCTTGAAAGTGAGATCCTCAGACTTTACTACTCCCAGGTCCCTTACATTATTTTTCCGCTCTATTGTATGGCCGGAGTCAGTAGTATACTCTGTTCTAGTTATTATCTCCTCCAGTTTTCCATAACGGAGTAGTTGGAATTTGTCCTCATTGAACATCATATTGTTTACCGTTGCCCACTGGAAAACTTTGTTTATATCTTCTTGGAGGTTAACCGCGTCTTCAGCAGATGACAGCCTCATGCAGATCCTAGTATCATCCGCAAAGGATGATACGGTGCTGTGGTGTATATCTCTGTTTATGTCTGATATGAGGATAAGGAATAAGATGGGGGCGAGTACTGTGCCTTGTGGAACAGAGCTCTTCACTATGGCAGCCTCCGATTTAACTCTGTTTACCACTACTCTTTGTGTTCGATTTGTTAGGAAGTTGAAGATCCATCTCCCCACTTTCCCAGTTATTCCTTTAGCACGTATTTTATGGGCTATTACGCCATGATCGCATTTGTCAAATGCTTTTGCAAAGTCTGTGGGTGTACGAACTTGGAGACATAACTGACTTGTATCTGCAGAAGAGTAGTGGGTCCCCTGCTGGTGACTGACGACGGCAGCACCAACAACCTGCAGAGGACGCAGCAAGAGACGGATAACCTGGTGGACGACACCCACCACAAGTTCCTCACCGGATACACCAGTAATGACGGGTGAGACACATTCTGTACTACTATAAAAAAATTATATTTAGGTAACGTGTTTATTGCCTGACTGAGGATCGTGCCTTCAGTACTTCAGCTTACGAGTGTAAGAGTACTGAAGACACGACACAGCTCCAGAGGAAGCCTTTACTGTATTTAGTGATACTCACAGTAGCAGTAAGTTTTTATTGTTAGTATTGCAGTAAGTTATTGATGTTTTATTTATTGGTAGTAATATTTACATTTATCTTTATAGAGTTGATTTATTTAGACAATCAAATTATTGTTAATTGTTTGGTGTAAAAGGGGATTGTAGCCTTAATGACCCAATAGTGCAGTAGATAGTCACCTTAACGGACTAACTGATTACAATTTAATATGACTCCTTCGTCAGGAGCGTGGACATGAGAGGCCTCCTGCAGGTGGGTGCGGTGCGCTGCGCCCTCCTGCTGCATCGCGAGGCTTACTCCTCCCTCAGGATCAACTTTACTTCCTACGGGCTCGATCCTACGGAAGAATTCTTCACCCAACTCCTGAAGCAGGTGAGGAGGTGGAGGGTATTTGCAGGTGTATATCAGTGTATATACACCCAGGTGGTGTGTATATCTCAGCGTTGACACACTGATGGGTAATTTAAATCCTTATTTTAGGGCATTTTATTCTTAACAGTCGTTGAAAAAGTATATATGTAACTAAAGGTTAATGAAGAGGTTGTATCTAGGTGGAGGGGCTGGGGTTATGCAGCACGGGGATCACTCTCTCAGATCGCCCATCAATCCAGAAGTATGTGGCTATAATTATTATATTTATGGGGAAGCACTAAACGTGTGGGGGAGATGAAGCGCATGGGGAATGGGAGCCGTCTGTCACCACCTGGTCTACACGTTGGTGTCTACTAATACAGGTGTTGCTGTAGACGCTAGTGTCTACTAACACAGGTGCTGCTGTAGACACTAGTGTCTACTAACACAGGTGTTGCTGTAGCAACAGAGAGTCGGGTACATATAAAGGAATGGCAAGGAAGATGATAGAGGTAGGCAGACGGGGAAGGGGAGAAAAATAGGAACGAGGGGAGAGGGAGTGACGAGGAGAAAGGGAAGAGGGGGAGGGGAAGATGAGGGGAGGTGGAGGAAGAGGAGGAGAGGCGGTAGAAGATCACTGCCAAACATGATCGGAATACGTGTTTCGCCTGGCCTTAACTCTATGCCAACACACGCACAAAAAAAAATCTGTCTGCATTTCACACGTAGGAAATTAATGGTATTGCCGTGAGTATGGAGGCACCAGCCGCTCCACACACTAACTACCAGATGATGAAGCGGCGTATCTCTTTACGTGTTTACCTCTTAACCTGTCCACTTATTGAAAAGTTGACTGAATGTGTAGCTTATGCGAAATTAATGACGACGCCTTGCAGGTGTTTGCTGCTGCTGCCACACGTCAGGTGTTTATCGCTGCCACGAGTTAGGACGCAGGTGTGCACCAGTGACGCAAAATGTCAAGCAGTGTGTTAATATATTGAGGAGTAAAGTAAGCGTGTCTTGAGCCCTCAAGGGTGGCGTATTACCTATCGTCTTCATCACCTAGCATCACATTCAACTTTTTTACTATCAGGTTATTTATTGACAGTGGTGGACCAAGCCAAGACCAGGGTACATCCTCACCCTGCTTCCTCCGCTTCACCCTTCTACCTCTGCTTCCTCTGCATCACCCTGCACCCCCTCCCTCCGTCATCTGGCTCCCTTTACTCCACGGTCAGTGGTAAAGTGTGAAATTCACCACCAAAATAATTCAGTTCCTACATGGTAGTGAGATGTATGGACACATCTCTTCCACCTGCAGCCCTGGCTCATCCAGCAGTAAGTAGGTACCTGGATGTTAGTCGTCTGTTGTGGGCTGCATTCTAGAAAGAGAGCACAAGGAACTGGAAAGAAGTAAGCCACACAACTTTGCTCTCTTGGGTTACTTTGGGGTAAGAACCCTCATCCACACACCCTGCTCCTTCACTCACCTTGCTCCCTCACTCACCCTGCTCCCTCCACAGGGCTACATCCCATACGTCAGCAACAAAGTGACTTATGGCAAATTAGTGAACGAGAAGAGCTACACCAACGATCTGTGGAACCTGGACAAGAACAGCGAGGAATTCCTCTACCAGTACATGGATCCTTCCCCCGGGAACAGCGGGACACCTCACCCAGTGTGCCCGCACCTCCGCACCCTCAAGGTCTTCACACGGTCCTTCGCCAGAGACCTATTGCTCGAGGCGCAGACGATGGCCTGGAACAACGCCTCTGACCAGGTCAGTGAGAGTAGGACTTCTGACGACAGAAATGCTGTCAGTAAGTCTGAATAATTAAGTCTCATTAGAATAATAAGTTTGTGTGTCCCCTGCAGGAGGGAATCCAGGTGCTGGCTCCTCCCACCTCAGCTCCCAAAGAGGCCATCAATGTCTTGGTCCAGTCTACAATAAGGAGTCTTTTTAGACACGAGAATATACAGGTAAGAGAGAGAGAGATAGAGATAGAGAGAGAGAGAGAGAGAGAGAGAGAGAGAGAGAGAGAGAGAGATAGATAGATAGATAGATAGAGGAGAGGAGAGAGAGAGAAGAGAGAGAGAGAGAGAGAGAGAGAAGAGGAGAAGAGAGAAGAGAGGAGAGAGAGAGAGAGAGAAGAGAGAGGAGAGAGAGAGAGAGAGAGATTATGTGGTGTTGAGAGAAGCGTATGTTGATATAACTTTGCTTATGCAAGCACATCAGGTGTTGTTGATTGAATAAACATGACTGGTGAGAGAGGAAAGAGATTTGTAACTGACATAAGAACATTGAATTACTAAGATAGGATGATAGAATCAGGTAAGAGCGAGCCCAGCATCACTGATGATCACTGTCACTCTCACAGAGTGTGAGTCAAGCATCACTGATGATCACTGTCACTCTCACAGAGTGTGAGTCAAGCATCACTGATGATCACTGTCACTCTCACAGAGTGTGAGTCAAGCATCACTGATGATCACTGTCACTCTCACAGAGTGTGAGTCAAGCATCACTGATGATCACTGTTACTCTCACAGAGTGTGAGTCAAGCATCACTGATGATCACTGTTACTCTCACAGAGTGTGAGTCAAGCATCACTGATGATCACTGTCACTCTCACAGAGTGTGAGTCAAGCATCACTGATGATCACTGTCACTCTCACAGAGTGTGAGTCAAGCAACACTGATGATCACTGTCACTCTCACAGAGTGTGAGTCAAGCATCACTGATGACCACTGTCACTCTCACAGTGTGAGTCAAGCATCACTGATGATCACTGTCACTCTCACAGAGTGTGAGTCAAGCATCACTGATGATCACTGTCACTCTCACAGAGTGTGAGTCAAGCATCACTGATGATCACTGTCACTCTCACAGAGTGTGAGTCAAGCATCACTGATGATCACTGTCACTCTCACAGAGTGTGAGTCAAGCATCACTGATGATCACTGTCACTCTCACAGAGTGTGAGTCAAGCATCACTGATGATCACTGTTACTCTCACAGAGTCTGAGTCAAGCATCACTGATGATCACTGTCACTCTCACAGAGTGTGAGTCAAGCATCACTGATGATCACTGTCACTCTCACAGAGTGTGAGTCAAGCATCACTGATGATCACTGTCACTCTCACAGAGTGTGAGTCAAGCATCACTGATGATCACTGTTACTCTCACAGAGTGTGAGTCAAGCATCACTGATGATCACTGTTACTCTCACAGAGTGTGAGTCAAGCATCACTGATGATCACTGTCACTCTCACAGAGTGTGAGTCAAGCATCACTGATGATCACTGTTACTCTCACAGAGTGTGAGTCAAGCATCACTGATGATCACTGTTACTCTCACAGAGTGTGAGTCAAGCATCACTGATGATCACTGTTACTCTCACAGAGTGTGAGTCAAGCATCACTGATGATCACTGTCACTCTCACAGAGTGTGAGTCAAGCATCACTGATGATCACTGTCACTCTCACAGAGTGTGAGTCAAGCATCACTGATGATCACTGTCACTCTCACAGAGTGTGAGACAAGCATCACTGATGATCACTGTCACTCTCACAGAGTGTTAGTCAAGCATCACTGATGATCACTGTCACTCTCACAGAGTGTGAGTCAAGCATCACTGATGATCACTGTCACTCTCACAGAGTGTGAGTCAAGCATCACTGATGATCACTGTCACTCTCACAGAGTGTTAGTCAAGCATCACTGATGATCACTGTCACTCTCACAGAGTGTGAGTCAAGCATCACTGATGATCACTGTCACTCTCACAGAGTGTGAGTCAAGCATCACTGATGATCACTGTCACACTCACAGAGTGTGAGTCAAGCATCACTGATGATCACTGTCACTCTCACAGAGTGTGAGTCAAGCATCACTGATGATCACTGTCACTCTCACAGAGTGTGAGTCAAGCATCACTGATGATCACTGTCACTCTCACAGAGTGTGAGTCAAGCATCACTGATGATCACTGTCACTCTCACAGAGTGTGAGTCAAGCATCACTGATGATCACTGTCACTCTCACAGAGTGTGAGTCAAGCATCACTGATGATCACTGTCACTCTCACAGAGTGTGAGTCAAGCATCACTGATGATCACTGTCACTCTCACAGAGTGTGAGTCAAGCATCACTGATGATCACTGTCACTCTCACAGAGTGTGAGTCAAGCATCACTGATGATCACTGTCACTCTCACAGAGTGTGAGTCAAGCATCACTGATGATCACTGTCACTCTCACAGAGTGTGAGTCAAGCATCACTGATGATCACTGTCACTCTCACAGAGTGTGAGTCAAGCATCACTGATGATCACTGTCACTCTCACAGAGTGTGAGTCAAGCATCACTGATGATCACTGTTACTCTCACAGAGTGTGAGTCAAGCATCACTGATGATCACTGTTACTCTCACAGTGTGAGTCAAGCATCACTGATGATCACTGTCACTCTCACAGAGTGTGAGTCAAGCATCACTGATGATCACTGTCACTCTCACAGAGTGTGAGTCAAGCATCACTGATGATCACTGTCACTCTCACAGAGTGTGAGTCAAGCATCACTGATGATCACTGTCACTCTCACAGAGTGTTAGTCAAGCATCACTGATGATCACTGTCACACTCACAGAGTGTGAGTCAAGCATCACTGATGATCACTGTCACTCTCACAGAGTGTGAGTCAAGCATCACTGATGACCACTGTCACTCTCACAGTGTGAGTCAAGCATCACTGATGATCACTGTCACTCTCACAGAGTGTGAGTCAAGCATCACTGATGATCACTGTCACTCTCACAGAGTGTGAGTCAAGCATCACTGATGATCACTGTCACTCTCACAGAGTGTGAGTCAAGCATCACTGATGATCACTGTCACTCTCACAGAGTGTGAGTCAAGCATCACTGATGATCACTGTCACTCTCACAGAGTGTGAGTCAAGCATCACTGATGATCACTGTCACTCTCACAGAGTGTGAGTCAAGCATCACTGATGATCACTGTCACTCTCACAGAGTGTGAGTCAAGCATCACTGATGATCACTGTTACTCTCACAGAGTGTGAGTCAAGCATCACTGATGATCACTGTTACTCTCACAGTGTGAGTCAAGCATCACTGATGATCACTGTCACTCTCACAGAGTGTGAGTCAAGCATCACTGATGATCACTGTCACACTCACAGAGTGTGACTCAAGCATCACTGATGATCACTGTCACTCTCACAGAGTGTGAGTCAAGCATCACTGATGATCACTGTCACTCTCACAGAGTGTGAGTCAAGCATCACTGATGATCACTGTCACACTCACAGAGTGTGAGTCAAGCATCACTGATGATCACTGTCACTCTCACAGAGTGTTAGTGGCAATAAGTGTCAATATAAATTTTAATGCGACCATATAAGAGAATAAATGTTTGTATAATTTCCAGAATTACCGAGTCAAGAGATGAACTTCCCTCATATTGTTGTGGATAACAGGTAATTACAAGTCATAGAGAATTTTACGTACATCGATAAAGAACGTTTTCCAATTCTTCTTCCTTATTATTATTATTATTATTATTATTATTATTGCCGCTGTGACTACAGGTGGCTGAGAGCGGGGGTCGAGTACAGCTGGTGCATGGACCAGGACAGTACATTCCAGAGGGGCAGCTGGTGGCCCTTGTTGCCCTCAGAGCAAAGAACCAGGTACGACTCTAATTTATATATATATATATATATATATATATATATATATATATATATATATATATATATATATATATATAAATATATATATATATATATATATATATATATATATATATATATATATATATATATATATATATATATATATATATATATATATACACACTTGTGTTTATTACTTGCTCTCTCTCTCACTCTCCTACCAGAAGGAGGACGGAGGTTCGAGTCGTTACTTTTTCCTACACTCAGTGACCTACATTTTCTTATATACATTTTTCATTATTTTCGTTTTATTTTGTATTATGACGACGATTATTTTAATCTATATATTTGAAAAGTTATTTTGAGTGTGACCTGTGTGTCGTCAGGGTGACCAGGTGGAGCTGGGGTCGACACCGTGCACGCTACAGCTGCGGGTGGGTGAAGTACTCTACTATAAGATTGGTCACTACCCCATGGTCACACTCACGGGGTCACTCTCCCTGGCTGCCCTCCTGCTGTGACCTCACAGCACCGTGGTCACTCTCCCTGGCTGCCCTCCTGCTGTGACCTCACAGCACAATGGTCACTCACCCTGGCTGCCCTCCTGCTGCGACCTCACAACTCAGTGGTCACTCACCCTGGCCACCCTGCTGTGACCTCACAACTCAGTGGTCACTCACCCTGGCTGTTCTTCTGCTGTGACCTTACCGCACAGTGGTCACTCTCCCTGGTTTCCCTCCTGCTGTGACCTCACAGCACGGTGGTCACTATCCCTGGCTGCCCTCTCGCTGTGACCTCACAACTCAGTGGTCACTCACCCTGGCTGTCCTGCTGTGACCTCACAACTCAGTGGTCACTCACCCTGGCTACCCTCCTGCTTTGACCTCACAACAGTGGTCACTCCTGCTGTGACCTCACAACGGTGGTCACTCTTGCTGTGATCTCACAACATTGGTCACTCCTGCTGTGACCTCACAACAGTGGTCACTCTTGCTGTGACCTCACAACAGTGGTCACTCCTGCTGTGACCTCACAACAGTGGTCACTCCTGCTTTGACCTCACAACAGTGGTCACTCCTGCTGTGACATCACAACGGTGGTCACTCTTGCTGTGACCTCACAACAGTGGTCACTCCTGCTGTGACCTCACAACGGTGGTCACTCCTGTTGTTTTACACAACTGGATGATCACCATCAACGCAAACAACAACAGGTAATAAAAACCATCAACGGAAACAACAGACAATAAAGACACTAACAGCAGTAACAACAGGTAATAAAGGCACTAACAGTAACAACAGGAAAAAAGATATTAACAACAGGCAATTAAGACACTAATAACAGGTAATAAAGACACTAACAGTAACAACAGGTAATAAAGACATTAAGAGTAACAACAGGTAATAAAGATTTTAACAGCGAAGACATGAACATTGACAATAAGTGATAAAGACAGTAACAACAGTAGCATCAAGCAATAAAGACAATAACAACAGTAACACCAAGCAATAAAGACAATAACAACAGTAACACCAAGCAATAAAGACAATAACAACAGTAACACCAAGCAATAAAGACAGTAACAACAGTAACACCAAGCAATAAAGAGAGTAACAACAGTAGCATCAAGCAATAAAGACAGTAACAACAGTAACACCAAGCAATAAAGACAATAACAACAGTAACACCAAGCAATAAAGACAGTAACAACAGTAACACCAAGCAATAAAGACAATAACAACAGTAACACCAAGCAATAAAGACAATAACAACAGTAACACCAAGCAATAAAGACAATAACAACAGTAACACCAAGCAATAAAGACAATAACAACAGTAACACCAAGCAATAAAGACAATAACAACAGTAGCATCAAGCAATAAAGACAATAACAACAGTAACACCAAGCAATAAAGACAATAACAACAGTAACACCAAGCAATAAAGACAATAACAACAGTAACACCAAGCAATAAAGACAATAACAACAGTAACACCAAGCAATAAAGACAATAACAACAGTAACATCAAGCAATAAAGACAATAACAACAGTAACATCAAGCAATAAAGACAGTAACAACAGTAACACCAAGCAATAAAGACAATAACAACAGTAACACCAAGCAATAAAGACAATAACAACAGTAACACCAAGCAATAAAGACAATAACAACAGTAACACCAAGCAATAAAGACAATAACAACAGTAACACCAAGCAATAAAGACAATAACAACAGTAGCATCAAGCAATAAAGACAATAACAACAGTAACACCAAGCAATAAAGACAATAACAACAGTAACACCAAGCAATAAAGACAATAACAACAGTAACACCAAGCAATAAAGACAATAACAACAGTAACACCAAGCAATAAAGACAATAACAACAGTAACATCAAGCAATAAAGACAATAACAACAGTAACACCAAGCAATAAAGACAGTAACAACAGTAACACCAAGCAATAAAGACAGTAACAACAGTAACACCAAGCAATAAAGACAATAACAGCAGTAACACCAAGCAATAAAGACAATAACAACAGTAACACCAAGCAATAAAGACAATAACAACAGTTACATCAAGCAATAAAGACAATAACAACAGTAACATCAAACAATAAAGACAGTAACAACAGTAACATCAAACAATAAAGACAATAACAACAGTAACATCAAGCAATAAAGACAGTAACAACAGTAACACCAAGCAATAAAGAGAGTAACAACAGTAACATCAAGCAATAAAGACAATAACAACAGTAACACCAAGCAATAAAGACAGTAACAACAGTAACACCAAGCAATAAAGAGAGTAACAACAGTAACACCAAGCAATAAAGACAATAACAACAGTAACATCAAGCAATAAAGACAGTAACAACAGTAACACCAAGCAATAAAGACAGTAACAGCAGTAACACCAAGCAATAAAGACAATAACAACAGTAACATCAAGCAATAAAGACAATAACAGTAACACCAAGCAATAAAGACAATAACAACAGTAACATCAAGCAATAAAGACAATAACAACAGTAACATCAAGCAATAAAGACAGTAACAACAGTAACATCAAGCAATAAAGACAACAGTAACATCAAGCAATAAAGACAATAACAACAGTAATACCAAGCAATAAAGACAATAACAACAGACATTATAAACAGGTGATACACTAACATCAGTAACAACACTTAATAAAGATAGAAACAACAGTAACAACAGATAATAAAGACCCTTAATGCAGTAACAACATTCAATAAATATATAAGAAGTCACAACAGTCAATAAAGATATTAAAGCCAGTAACAATAGGCAAGAAAATAAAAATACCAGTAACAATAGACAATATACTAATAACAACAGTAGACAATAAAGACACTAACAACAACAACAACAGGCAGTAAATACACTATCAAATAACAATAGACAATAAAGCTGTAACAATATTCAATAAAGACACTAACAATGGTAACAACAGACAATAAAAACACTAGCAACAAGCAATACACTAATAACAGTAACAACAGACAATAAAAACACTAGCAACAAGCAGTACACTAACAACAGTAACAACAGACAATAAAGACAACAGAACAGCAACAGAACGTAATAAAGATAGCAACAACAGGGTAATGGAGACACTGTGAGTGAATGTCTGTCAGTATATATATATATCTGGAGTTTATTACCTGTCTTAGGTAATAAAGTATTCTTGACTGGTGGTGAACAGGTGACTTACACCCTTAATGACCCTAGTGTAGTCGATAGGCTTTAAACCCCTATTAACCACCTGACCAAAAAACTGTGAGTCACATGCATGCATCTGCTAGCACACACCCATATGTGTAACTACTAGCAACTACTAGCACACACCCATATATCTACTAGTATCTAGCACACATCCTTTGTATCTGTCGACAAGCACACTCTTATGTGTATCTACTTACACCCAGATATGTATCTACTAATATCTACTAGCACACACCCATATGTGCATCAAGTATCTACTAGCACACATTCCCATATATGTATCTACTAACACACACCTATATGTGTATCTACTAGTATCTATTAGCACACACCCTTATGTGTATCAACTGTTATCTACTGGCACATACCCGTAGGTGTATCTATTAGTATGTACTAGCACAGGCCCATATATTTACTAGTATCTACTAGCACCCATATATATGTATCTACTAGCATACATATATGTATTTACTGGCACACATATATGTATTACGAGCACACGAATGTGTATCTACTAGCACACGAATGCGTATCTACTAGCACACGAATGTGTGTCTACTAGCACACGAACGTGTATCTACAACACACATATACGTATATACTAGCACACGAATGTGCATTTGCTAGCACACGAATGTGTATCTACTAGCACACGAATGTGTGTCTACTAGCACACGAATGTGTATCTACAACACACATATACGTATATACTAGCACACGAATGTGCATTTGCTAGCACACGAATGTGTATCTACTAGCACACGAATGTGTGTCTACTAGCACACGAATGTGTATCTACAACACACATATACGTATATACTAGCACACGAATGTGCATCTACTAGCACACGAATGTGTATCTACTAGCACACATACGTATCTACTACCACACGAATGTGTATCTACTAGCAAACATATACGTATCTACTACCACACGAATGTGTATCTACTAGCAAACATATACGTATCTACTACCACACGAATGTGTATCTACTAGCAAACATATACGTATCTACTACCACACGAATGTGTATCTACTAGCATACATATATGTATCTACTAGCAGCTACTGGGAGTTAATAAAAGTTTGTATTCCATCGATCTTTCATTTCACTGCAAAAAGGTAACGTGAAGAGGAGAGGACCCAGACCCACCAGTCTGTTGTTGTATCCCCCAGTACCCAGACCCACCAGTCTGTTGTTGTATCCCCCAGTACCCAGACCCACCAGTCTGTTGTTGTATCCCCAGTACCCAGACCCACCAGTCTGTTGTTGTATCCCCCAGTACCCAGACCCACCAGTCTGTTGTTGTATCCCCCAGTACCCAGACCCACCAGTCTGTTGTTGTATCCCCAGTACCCAGACCCACCAGTCTGTTGTTGTATCCCCAGTACCCAGACCCACCAGTCTGTTGTTGTATCCCCCAGTACCCAGACCCACCAGTCTGTTGTTGTATCCCCCAGTACCCAGACCCACCAGTCTGTTGTTGTATCCCCCTGTACCCAGACCCACCAGTCTGTTGTTGTATCCCCCAGTACCCAGACCCACCAGTCAGTTGTTGTATCCCCCTGTACCCAGACCCACCAGTCTGTTGTTGTATCCCCCAGTACCCAGACCCACCAGTCTGTTGTTGTATCCCCAGTACCCAGACCCACCAGTCTGTTGTTGCATCCCCCAGTACCCAGACCCACCAGTCTGTTGTTGTATCCCCCAGTACCCAGACCCACCAGTCTGTTGTTGTATCCCCAGTACCCAGACCCACCAGTCTGTTGTTGTATCCCCCTGTACCCAGACCCACCAGTCTGTTGTTGTATCCCCCAGTACCCAGACCCACCAGTCTGTTGTTGTATCCCCCTGTACCCAGACCCACCAGTCTGTTGTTGTATCCCCCAGTACCCAGACCCACCAGTCTGTTGTTGTATCCCCCTGTACCCAGACCCACCAGTCTGTTGTTGTATCCCCCTGTACCCAGACCCACCAGTCTGTTGTTTGTATCCCCAGTACCCAGACCCACCAGTCTGTTGTTGTATCCCCAGTACCCAGACCCACCAGTCTGTTGTTGTATCCCCCAGTACCCAGACCCACCAGTCTGTTGTTGTAACCCCAGTACCCAGAACCCACCAGTCTGTTGTTGTATCCCCCTGTACCCAGACCCACCAGTCTGTTGTTGTATCCCCCTGTACCCAGACCCACCAGTCTGTTGTTGCATCCCCCAGTACCCAGACCCACCAGTCTGTTGTTGTATCCCCCAGTACCCAGACCCACCAGTCTGTTGTTGTATCCCCAGTACCCAGACCCACCAGTCTGTTGTTGTATCCCCCTGTACCCAGACCCACCAGTCTGTTGTTGTATCCCCCAGTACCCAGACCCACCAGTCTGTTGTTGTATCCCCCTGTACCCAGACCCACCAGTCTGTTGTTGTATCCCCCAGTACCCAGACCCACCAGTCTGTTGTTGTATCCCCCTGTACCCAGACCCACCAGTCTGTTGTTGTATCCCCCTGTACCCAGACCCACCAGTCTGTTGTTGTATCCCCAGTACCCAGACCCACCAGTCTGTTGTTGTATCCCCAGTACCCAGACCCACCAGTCTGTTGTTGTATCCCCCAGTACCCAGACCCACCAGTCTGTTGTTGTAACCCCAGTACCCAGACCCACCAGTCTGTTGTTGTATCCCCCTGTACCCAGACCCACCAGTCTGTTGTTGTATCCCCCTGTACCCAGACCCACCAGTCTGTTGTTGTATCCCCCAGTACCCAGACCCACCAGTCTGTTGTTGTATCCCCCAGTACCCAGACCCACCAGTCTGTTGTAGTATCCCCCTGTACCCAGACCCACCAGTCTGTTGTTGTATCCTCAGTACCCAGACCCACCAGTCTGTTGTTGTATCCCCCAGTACCCAGACCCACCAGTCTGTTGTTGTATCCCCCTGTACCCAGACCCACCAGTCTGTTGTTGTATCCCCCTGTACCCAGACCCACCAGTCTGTTGTTGTATCCCCAGTACCCAGACCCACCAGTCTGTTGTTGTATCCCCCTGTACCCAGACCCACCAGTCTTTTGTTGTATCCCCCTGTACCCAGACCCACCAGTCTGTTGTTGCATCCCCCAGTACCCAGACCCACCAGTCTGTTCTTGTATCCCCCAGTACCCAGACCCACCAGTCTGTTGTTGTATCCCCAGTACCCAGACCCACCAGTCTGTTGTTGTATCCCCAGTACCCAGACACACCAGTCTGTTATTGTATCCCCAGTACCCTGACCCACCAGTCTGTTGCTGTATCCCCCTGTACCCAGACCCACCAGTCTGTTGTTGTATCCCCCTGTACCCAGACCCACCAGTCTGTTGTTGCATCCCCAGTACCCAGACCCACCAGTCTGTTGTTGTATCCCCCTGTACCCAGACCCACCAGTCTGTTGTTGTATCCCCCTGTACCCAGACCCACCAGTCTGTTGTTGTATCCCCCAGTACCCAGACCCACCAGTCTGTTGTTGTATCCCCAGTACCCAGACCCACCAGTCTGTTGTTGTACCCCCCTGTACCCAGACCCACCAGTCTGTTGTTGTATCCCCCAGTACCAAGACCTACCAGTCTGTTGATGTATCCCCCAGTACCCAGACCCACCAGTCTGTTGTTGTATCCCCCAGTACCCAGACCCACCAGTCTGTTGTTGTATCCCCCTGTACCCAAACCCACCAGTCTGTTGTTGTATCCCCCAGTACCCAGATCCACCAGTCTGTTGTTGTATCCCCCAGTACCCAGACCCACCAGTCTGTTGTTGTATCCCCCAGTACCCAGACCCACCAGTCTGTTGTTGTATCCCCAGTACCCAGACCCACCAGTTTGTTGTTGTATCCCCCAGTACCAATACCCACCAGTCTGTTGTTGTATCCCCCAGTACCCAGACCCACCAGTCTGTTGTTGTATCCCCCTGTACCCAGACCCACCAGTCTGTTGTTGTACCCCCCTGTACCCAGACCCACCAGTCTGTTGTTGTATCCCCCAGTACCAAGACCCACCAGTCTGTTGTTGTATCCCCCAGTACCCAGACCCACCAGTCTGTTGATGTATCTCCAGTACCAGACCCAACAGTCTGTTGATGTATCCCCAGTACCCAGACCCACCAGTCTGTTGTTGTATCCCCCAGTACCCAGACCCACCAGTCTGTTGTTGTATCCCCCTGTACCCAGACCCACCAGTCTGTTGTTGTACCCCCCTGTACCCAGACCCACCAGTCTGTTGTTGCATCCCCCAGTACCCAGACCCACCAGTCTGTTCTTGTATCCCCCAGTACCCAGACCCACCAGTCTGTTGTTGCATCCCCCAGTACCCAGACCCACCAGTCTGTTCTTGTATCCCCAGTACCCAGACCCACCAGTCTGTTGTTGCATCCCCAGTACCCAGACCCACAGTCTGTTCTTGTATCCCCCAGTACCCAGACCCACCAGTCTGTTGTTGTATCCCCCAGTACCCAGACCCACCAGTCTGTTGTTGCATCCCCCAGTACCCAGACCCACCAGTCTGTTGTTGTATCCCCCTGTACCCAGACCCACCAGTCTGTTGTTGTACCCCCCTGTACCCAGACCCACCAGTCTGTTGTTGTATCCCCAGTACCAAGACCCACCAGTCTGTTGTTGTATCCCCCAGTACCCAGACCCACCAGTCTGTTGTTGTATCCCCCAGTACCAAGACCCACCAGTCTGTTGTTGTATCCCCCAGTACCAAGACCCACCAGTCTGTTGTTGTATCCCCCAGTACCCAGACCCACCAGTCTGTTGTTGTATCCCCCAGTACCCAGACCCACCAGTCTGTTGTTGTATCCCCCAGTACCAAGACCCACCAGTCTGTTGTTGTATCCCCCAGTACCCAGACCCACCAGTCTGTTGATGTATCTCCAGTACCAGACCCAACAGTCTGTTGATGTATCCCCAGTACCTAGAACTGGTCCTCCCAGTACCTAAACATCTAAACTCAAGCGGTAGTAATAATGTTAATCTGGTAATGTTTAGGTACAGTAAGTGTGGTAAACACAAGCAGGAATAATTTTTTTTTCACCTGTTGAGGATTTATTGTCGGAGAGTAAATAAAATGAATATTTTTAAATTTGTTCTGTTGTTAGTTGAGCAGATTTCTTCATTTCAGTCCTGCTAAGGTTATCAGATAACGGAAAACATTAAAATCGTCACTTGTGAGGCTGACATTAGGATTTGGGTTAGATAATCCTGACTCTTCCTACAGAAAATGGGTCGCGGGTGCTAGTGAGAGGTTCGTTCTTAACGTTACTCAGTACCCTGAGAGGTATTTCTAATGGTTATAATCATAACTATAATTTTTAATGGGGTGGACCGGTAAGCCAGCAAAAGCCTCGGTCATATAACCCAAAACTCCAGCTGCGGGTCATCATATGACTAAGACCAGCGTCGGGAAACACTTGTCCTATTTCCTGACAAATCTTATCTAACCTAAGGTTCCCCATCGTGTGTAGCCAAGAGGAATGCGTGAGGACGCCCGTGTCAGCACGCTGCAGAGTGAACAAGCCTGAAGCCTGACAGTCGTAGGGAATGCGAGTGTGGCTGTCTGAGGAACATAAATTGACATGAAGTTTGTACGCAGCTCTGGTGACACAGTACATTATATTTGAAGCTTCGTAGCTATGAACTCTAGAAGGAATACTTGACAATATCCTCAATGTTCTACTGAAGCCTCCAAGCTCAGGCTGACAGATTTCGACAGTCTGGGTAAGCCCCGACCTGTTAACTGGCATAGCCTAGTGGTGAGTTTCGCGGCTGTCATTACCGAGGTACGGGAACAAACCTCTTGTGATGGAATGTGACAGGGAAACATGGTTAACTTTTATTCCCACTGTTTAACCGTCTTATAGAATGTAACAGGGAAACATGATAAGATTTTGTTGCCACTGTGTATCAGTCGTATAGAATAGGATAGCAGCACACTACTGATATCTATAATTTTGCTAAATGAAAGAAAATGTCGAATCTCTGTGAAACAGCAGTTTCCAACCAGTCTGAGAGAATTATCTCTTAATTAACTGCTTCTTGGATCACTCTTGGGACGCTATATTCTCCAACTGTAATGAGACGGTAACCCTCAGGGAAAGTATTTCTGTTCTTCCCTTCCCTGCCTCTCGTCCCCCATAAGCTGTATGACCCCTTCGAATTTATCGCTTACCCTAATAATAACATGGTGAGTGTAGTCTAGAGTCAGTGTGAGGGAGATGTGCAAAGAATGGAACTTTTGTGGTGTGTCGCCACCGAGGCTTGTCTCTGTTATGATAAACCAGTGGAAGGCCTCGGTCAGATGACCAAAAGCTCCAGCTTATGGTCATCATAAGACCAGCATCACGAAAGACTTGTTCTTTTTCCTGGCAAACCTTACCTTACCTAACCTAACCTACCTTAGAAAACAATCCAACTTGTGTTCTTGAATATTCTGAATATGAAGTCTTAGGTGTGGTTGTTTGTTTATAGTTTTTGACCCACTGGGATCAACAGCCTGACATGAATTATCAGATGGTAATCAGCCAACGGCAAAGATGACACACTAACTTAGCTGACAATCGTGTGTCATGCATGATGACGAGAGAGAGATGGAGGCCATGATTTGACAGATGACACCTGTCATTTTACATGTCCGAGAAGATGCGTGATGATGGAAGTCCAGAGCGACGGGTCAGTAAGGATACCAGTCCTAGTTTGTGGTCTTCAACTGAGAGCCGACGCCATGAATTTGAGGCGTCCTCTTTGTCTCGCACTTACCGATACTCTCCAAGAGTTTTGTGAAACGTGTTTACTAAAAGTATCGCGTTAGGTTCGGTATTGTTAGCGAGGTGTGGCAGGAGCTAAACATGGGCCAGGGGCCACACGGGCCAGCCAGGCTGCCACGCTAAAATTATACATGAGCAGGGCCCGGCAGCAGTGCTTGGTGCACCACGAGCACCAGCCAGTGTGCACCGCCCAGCCCAACCACATCACCAGGCCGACGTACGCCCCACCAGGGATCACCGTCCCTATATCCTGACGTCACTCATCTGGCCCCTATGGCCGCCCATATGCCACCCGACGCCCGGGACCAGACGGGGACCTGGTGGTAGTCGTTGCCGCCCAACGCGCAACATCGTCATCCGCTATTATCACATCCACACCTTGCTGAAGATTAATAACTGGGTAAACATCACGGGCAGGTGCGGAAGACTTGCCTCGGACTGCCAAAGTGTGGGTCACACCCCTCCCCCCCTTCCCCTAGGCCACCTCACTCTGGGGGGGAGAGACTGCCCGCCGTGCCCAGCTCGACCTCACGGCAGTCACCGACGGCGCTCTTCATCCTAGTCACCCGACCATCGAACTCTAAGAGATCTAATTGTGTTGGCCAGAACCAGGAAACTTATTATTTGCGTATTTCAGTGATTTTGATGGTGTTACCTGTGATATCAGGCAGTGGTTGAGGGCTAGGGGCGGGGGGACGATACTAGTGTAGGATGCCGGGTGTTAAGGGCAGGTGTATGTTTGTGCAAGAGGTGTTCAACTGTAGGGGATACGAGCAGTTTACCACAGCGTGCGGGTAGCACAGTGACCAGTGTGTGTTGAAAATAACACCTGCCACACAGGGAGCTTCATTAGGCCCCACAGTGCGTGGCGTGACGCTGCTGGGGAGGTGGTCTTCCGCCGTCTGCGTCTCCTGCAGGAGCCATGACAGTCTCCTACCAGTATGACGTGGCCTCCTCCACTTCGGGCGGCTTTACCCGCCTCCTCTTCAAGTGGAAGGGTTCCTTGTATAAACTCATATACCGAGAGCTCTTCCTCTTCTGCCTGGGATACGCTTGCATGAGCTGCATCTACAGATTCGTCTTCACAGAGCCGCAGAAGAGGTAAAGTCCCAGAGGTGCTGTATATGAACTGACACTGTGTTGTGTTACATCCTTTATAACTTGTGATACTGCCCTTCTTCGAAGATCAAATGAATGGTGATACCCCTCTTCTAAAACCAAATAAATGACAATACCCTTAATCTAAGTTCATGTAACCGCACAAACCACAAGCACGCATGGAATCCCTCACTTGGGCAGGGGCCTATCTACTCCTTGTCCCTGTGTGGCGCAGTTTAGAGATGACGGTAAACAGTTGTCCCGCTGCCTCTCATCCTCTGTATCTACCCTACACAGCTGTAATCTCAACCTCCACGCTAAGAACAAGGAACCGCCAGCATTCATACACAACATGAACATCATCCTTCACATTAAGAACAAGGAGCCACTAGCATTCATACACAACATGAACATCATCCTTCACATTAAGAACAAGGAGCCACTAGCATTCATACACAACATGAACATCATCCTTCACATTAAGAACAAGGAGCCACTAGCATTCATACACAACATGAACATCATCCCTCACATTAAGAACAAGAAGCCACTAGCATTCATACACAACATGAACATCATCCTTCACATTAAGAACAAGGAGCCACTAGCATTCATACACAACATGAACATTCTCCTTCACATTAAGAACAAGAAGCCACTAGCATTCATACACAACATGAACATCATCCTTCACATTAAGAACAAGAAGCCACTAGCATTCATACACAACATGAACATCATCCTTCACATTAAGAACAAGGAGCCACCAGCATTCATACACAACATGAACATCATCCTTCACATTAAGAACAAGGAGCCACTAGCATTCATACACAACATGAACATCATCCTTCACATTAAGAACAAGAAGCCACTAGCATTCATACACAACATGAACATCATCCTTCACATTAAGAACAAGGAGCCACTAGCATTCATACACAGCATGAACATCCTCCTTCACATTAAGAACAATAAGCCACTAGCATTCATACACAACATGAACATCCTCCTTCACATTAAGAACAATAAGCCACTAGCATTCATACACAACATGAACATCCTCCTTCACATTAAGAACAAGAGACCAACAACACTCACACATAATTTAGCCTGATTTAGAGGATAAGCTGCAGCTACTCAGTAGGCTTAACCTACTGACAACACTTCCTTACCAGTCTTCCGCAACAAGGGTTTTGACTGAGTTTCGTGGATTCTATGGTTCCTTGAATACTTACTGTCTTTCTGTGAATTTGTTCATGAGATACTGGAAGAGAGTGACAAGACGATTTTATCTTTTTTTATGAAAGGACGAATGAAAACGTAATAAGAAATCTTTTAGATTTTATTTTGCAATATTTTAATGTGAATGATGAAATATCCAAGATTCTGAGCTGCCTAGAGAGCACTAGCAACTTGGTCAAGATCTGTGTTGCTTGCACGCAGTCACAGTGAGACGCAGGAGTGACTCTGGTAAACACATCGCTGGTGACCAGCATCACTACTGTCTCTGGTGTGTCAGGTTAAGAGGTCTGTGTTTGTAGATTTGCTGTGTCATGTTATCACATGCATTTATAATGTGTTTTGTCTTTCATTCCTCGCAATTTAACAGCTGTTATGAGTTTTTTAAGATAATTTTTGTTAGTTAAGCTATAAGAGCCTCGTTAAAATGTTAATTATGATGCCAATTATCGTAATATTTTCTTTGCTCAATTATGAATTTATTATAAAATTATAATGACTATTTTGATAAAGGCGTTTTGTAATGCTATGGTTCCATGCTGTTGAGAGGGTTAATAATGTTTTTTTTAATAAGGCTCCAGTAATTTAATTTTAACGACAAGCTTCCAAGGCTTAAAAAGTTTGAAAGGACGCGATGCGCAACGCATTATTATTCCCCCTTTACTAGCCATGTCTTCAAATTCTAGTTTAGCGTGTATGTGTTTAACGTGTACACATTATATACGCACGTGGAAACCCACTCTAAATGTACATATCACCATTATAACAAACAATGGGGGAGACATCCATGTGTACATCCAGGGTAGTTGGTGGGAAGGTGAGAGGAAGGGGTATGAGGAGATACTGGGAGGAAGGTAAGAGGGAGAGATATAAGGGAGAGATAGAGACGAAGGTATGACGAGGAAGCATGAGGAGGTGCAGGGAGGAAGGTAAGGAGAGGCATGAGGGAAAGGTATGTGAGAAAGGAACACGAGAAAGAGGTATGCGAAGAGGGAGCAGGAATGTTTTTGTCATGATCTCTCACTCTCATGACTCTTCATTCATGACAAGAGTTTGACAGGTAGAAACTGGACCGAGGTATTGGGCTCACTCTTACTATAGACGCCACAACAAACACGGCAACACAACGTTTAATGCATCTCCAGCAAAGACATTGTCTTGAATGTCTTCAACGAGACATCGTCTTCGTCGACCTCAACAAAGGCTGAGTCGCCCTAAACAATGGTAAATTATTTACTTAATAAAGGAGTAGCGTTAACAACTAGTACACAGACGATAAAGTGATGAATTGATTTACATAACCAAAAAGTTGATAAATGAGACACTTGTGCAGATATTTGCGAATCTTTATTCTGGGAACTTTTCTCCACACAGTGGTTTCTTCAGTCAAATGCAGAAAAAGGTGGAAGATGAAGAGGAGTTTGAGGTAATGATGGACTGATTCCTTCAAACTCCTCCTCATTTTCCACCTTTTTCTGCATTTGACTAAAGACGCCACTGTGTGGCGAAACGTTTCCATAAAGGTACTCAAATGTTGCACAAGTGTCTCATTTATCGATAAAGTGAAGTCTTGACTGGTACATCCTGTCGCCCACATACAAAATACATAGCACGGTGGGAATAAATATGCAACTTACACAAGGCATCTAAAGCTGGTGGTCAGGTGTTAACCTCTGAGTATCTGTTGAGTACTGTAAGAGGCCTATTGGCCCACGCTAGGTCAACTCTGTTCCACGGTGAGGATTGCCATGGATGTCAACAGTGTCAGCATATCAGTTTTGTTTATGGCATTAGTTTGAGTGTGATTAAGTCCAATCACATACGTTTAATCTTACTGTTTTCTTGAAATGGCAGCCTGGCTGTGTCCCACTCCATGATGTGTTAGTGGGTGTTGAGGTGTCGTACACATGCGTTGTCGCTGTTGGTCACTCTATAAGGATTCCTGTTCTTGCAGACATATGGAAAGCCTCAGTCTTAAGTAAGTCGCCACTACATGTCCTCATTATCTGCAATAACAGTATCCCAGATAACCTCAACAGTGTCTCAGACGTCCATGGAATTATACAAGTGATATTTAATCTTTGGTAAAAACATTTTTTTTTTTTTTGGGTAATGATATACAATTATTGGCAGTGACACTTGTTCTTGGCTAATATAACTTCCCATGACCAGTACCCTCCTCCCCCATAACACACAGTTCTAAAGCGTTTATCTTTGTTCGTGTGATGTGAACAGACCTCTGGAACTTCCATGTATTCCTTCGTTCGTCCTCCATCGTGGCTGGGAACCGCACGGTACTATTTTTTAAATATCAGTGTGATTTGGTGTTGGAGAAACTCTTACTGTAGTTGATGAGAATGTAGTTTTTGTCTCGTGCAGTGCTGGTGTCTGTTTCCCGCTTGACATGAGGTGCTGGTGTCTGTTTCCCGCTTGACATGAGGTGCTGGTGTCTGTTTCCCGCTTGACATGAGGTGCTGGTGTCTGTTTCCGCTTGACATGAGGTGCTGGTGTCTGCTTCCCGCTTGACATGAGGTGCTGGTGTCTGTTTCCCGCTTGACATGAGGTGCTGGTGTCTGTTTCCCGCTTGACATGAGGTGCTGGTGTCTGTTTCCCGCTTGACATGAGGTGCTGGTGTCTGTTTCCCGCTTGACATGAGGTGCTGGTGTCTGCTTCCCGCTTGACATGAGGTGCTGGTATCTGCTTCCCTCTTGACATGAGGTGCTGGTATCTGCTTCCCTCTTGACATAAGGTGCTGGTGTCCACATACCACTTAACATGAGGTGCTGGTGTCCACATACCGCTTGACATGAGGTGCTGTGTCCACATACCACTTAACATGAGGTGCTGGTGTCCACATACCGCTTGACATGAGGTGCTGGTGCCCACATACCGCTTGACATGAGGTGCTGGTGTCCACATACCGCTTGACATGAGGCGCTGGTGTCCACACACCGCTTGACATGAGGTGCTGGTGTCCACATACCACTTAACATGAGGTGCTGGTGTTCACATACCACTTTACATGAGGTGCTGGTGTCCACATACCGCTTGACATGAGGTGCTGGTGTCCACATACCGCTTGACATGAGGTGCTGGTGTCCACATACCACTTAACATGAGGTGCTGGTGTCCACATACCGCTTGACATGAGGTGCTGGTGTCCACATACCGCTTGACATGAGGCGCTGGTGTCCACATACCGCTTGACATGAGGTGCTGGTGTCCGCTTCCCGCTTGACATGAGGTGCTGGTGTCCTCATACCACTTGACATAAGGTGCTGGTGTCCGCTTCCCGCTTGACATGAGGTGCTGGTGTCTGCTTCCCGCTTGACATGAGGTGCTGGTGTCCACATACCGCTTGACATGAGGTGCTGGTGTCCACACACCACTTGACATGAGGTGCTGGTGTCCGCTTCCCGCTTGACATGAGGTGCTGGTATCTGCTTCCCGCTTGACATGAGGTGCTGGTGTCCACACACCACTTAACATGAGGTGCTGGTGTCCACATACCGCTTGACATGAGGTGCTGGTGCCTACATACCGCTTGACATGAGGTGCTGGTGTCCACATACCGCTTGACATGAGGCGTTGGTGTCCACATACCGCTTGACATGAGGTGCTGGTGTCCACATACCGCTTGACATGAGGTGCTGGTGTCCACATACCGCTTGACATGAGGTGCTGGTGTCCACATACCACTTAACATGAGGTGCTGGCGTCCACATACCACTTGACATGAGGTGCTGGTGTCCACATAACAC